GAATAATTGATTAAAAACGCAGTTGCATCTGAATATTATCTGTCGATCGCCGCGTTTAGGAAACGGTTTGGTTTATCGGCAGGAACAACACCGCTGCTAATCGATATTGACACTCGTCGTACGTACACATGTTGCGAAAGAAACATTGTGGAACTCATATCGGCAAGTGTTGCTTGAAAAAAAAAAAAAAAAAAAAAAAAAAGAAATTGAAATCTCGCGAATTTTATCGGGGAGATACGGTGCTTCGACGAGCCACAGGCTTTTTAATTATTATAACGGTACGTTGTAGTGGAACTAAGAATCCTCACGGATTTTCTCTTTAATGGATCTGGCCCTGAAGTGAGACACTCGATTAGCATGATCGTGTCGCAAGGATTGGAAAATGAATGGCTGCGTCGACTCGACGTCTGGGATTCTATCAAGTTCTTTCATTGTCATTAAATTTTGAACATAGGTCTACCGTATGTGATACTAATTACAAATTGCAAGATTTTCATTTCCTTCTGTTCGAATATTATTTCATCAGGTGATTTTCTAGATTCTTTTTCGTACTTTAACAGCAGAAATTAACAATCTTAGCCCTTTAATACATAATAAGATATTCTACACATGTGATAATATATAATAAATATAAATGACAATAATCAAAATATTTATATATATAATCATCGTGTAACTGTATCATTTATTATAATTTCATGATACTTGTATATATTGTAATTCAAATGATAATAATCAAAATAACTAAATTTGTTCGTTTCTGTCTGAAACAAATCAATACTAACTTTGACAAAAATTCTTTTATCTATCAAATATCGTTTCGATTGAGAAAATCGAAGACCTGTTATACGTATTGACTCGGTTTGATCGTTCTAGCATTCAGTGACAATAATGATTAACGAAACATCGTGAAATCAAAAAACGAAGATAATTTTTCTTTTTTTCATTCACACTTCACTTCAAAATCAAGGGGAAATCGTTCCCAATATTTTTTCAGAATTTATCCGCGTCCCTAAATGTGTTTTAACATCGATAAATTAGGATACATCGTCTGGAAAAGAAAGAAAAGAAAGAAAAAAGAGAGAAGAACAACTAACGACGCGGGGGAGAAAAAGAAGAGAAGAAATTCGACGTGATCGGAATTAGAATCGGCGAGTTGCACCATCATGCCGAATCTTGGGTGTAGCCATTTTTGTCTTTTTTCTCTTTTTTCGTAACTCGAACGGAGAAAGCTTCGTAACTCGTCGCCGAAGATCGCGTCGAACGTGATCGAAATTGATTAAATCGGCCGAAAATCGTAAATCAGTCGAGGTGAAAGCGCCACACAATGTGTAAACAATAGAAAGAAGGGGATCGAAGGCGCACTTTCGATCGACAGATCGTTTTACTCGCTTTTTTTTTTTTCATTTTATACTCGTGATTCTTTTCATACTTTTTTTTCTTTCTTTGTTTCTCGTCGTTTACTTTCAAGCAAATTCACTGGACGTCGAAGCTAACACTTCCGCGCAT